CACAAGCTTTGCTCTTTTCATACACAAATAAATCCGTTTTCAACACAAATTTTCCGAAACACATTTTTTTTTCATCACAGATATTAACCATGGCTATACCAATTTTAAACTTTTAAAGAGAATCTTCCGAATCGTAAGGATAGAATTATACTCAATGAAATGGGCTAAACATCGATAAAAACACCGGCACGTGTAAACTTCATAAGTGACTTTTGTGCTGCACACTGTTTATTAATTTATATTACAGGTTTTATAGTAAAGTTCAAGAAATAATGATTTTAAAGCAATCAACTTAATTTGTTTTATAATTTATTCAATAATTTATTCAAAACCCGTATAAATGATTAGTGTAGTGTGCTAACATTGTAATTTTGTTCCGTGGTTAAAAATCAGTAGCAGGTTATACAATGTACATTCAAGTAGTAATAAACCCGCATATGTCCAGATTCGAAAATTTAAGAACTTATATACCGGGGTAACAATCTTATCTGAATATTACAGACTTATCATGTAATTACACGCTTTTACAACCTAAATTAAACTGTTAAAATCATAACCTGCACCAAAGTCAAACCATTTGTATCGTTTACCGTATATAACTCAGTATTTTCTTTAAAATGATGAACTTATATCTAGCGCAAATAACTTTCCTTGCTTTAAAAAATACGCGTACGAGAGAGCGAGTGAGAGGCATTTTATTCAAGTACTTTCAAGTTTTTACCAGCGAGTCTTGTCTAATTTTTATTCTATTAAACATAATCTCCCTTTCCTATTTAAATTTGATTTATTTGGTAATTTTATTCAACGTTAAGTACAATATCATTATGTAGCATAGGCGTCGGAACCAGGGGGGGGGGGGGGGCTAGGGGGGCTTAGCCCCCCCACTTTTTTTCCCAATATATATTTTGTATAGACATTGAACATTGCTGCGTAGGTTTAGCCCCCACTTTCCTTAGAGAAGTTGCATTATAGGTTAAAAATGAGGAAAGTGGTGGTTTCGGAAAAAAATTTTGGTACTGAAGTTCGAACCTAACACACCCCTCCCCTCCCCTCCCCCCCCCCCCCCCCCCCCCCCCCCCCCACGAAATAGAATTTTCGTGTTTGGGAAAAAGAACCTTTCCTTTTTTTTTTTTTTTGGTTGCCAGGTTTTTTTTTTTGAAGGTATAATTTCTATTTTCACTTAGCCCCCCCCCCCCACTTTCAATTTGCAATTTGCTTCGACGCCAATGTGTAGTACTAAAATGAAGTCCATGCTCGGATGCTATTGTACATCGGGAATTTTCTTTAATCCTTTATCCATGCATTCCTCCTTCAAGGAAAATAATTATGAATTAATTGATTGAATAACGTGTATATAACCATGTGGTTTCGGTTTGTCAACGTGTTTTAGATCATGATCAGCAAATCACAACTCCTCGGGTCTTCCTGTCTAACAGAATAATAACCTCAAATGTATTACGTATACAACATGACATCCCCATGCTCCTCACCCCCTTTACCCTTTACCCAAACTTTGAAATAAATGAGGAAAAATATTTTATTTGTGGACTTTTGATTTAATCTCATTGAAAGTAAAGCTATTATACGTATTATGGAAGGGACTTTCAACCCCGTCTATCTTTCATAAATAGAAACACCATGTTTGTTTGAATAGTAATATCCTGTGATGTTTTAAAATACCTCAATGTTGTTTTTCTGACCTGTGACAAAATGGAACGAGATAATGCAAATTTCAAACATCTTCATCGGCCAATGACAGAAAAGTTGTAAAATTCCTGTCGGGGTTATGAACTTCTAATCACTAAAAGGTGTTTGTCTTGACACAGAGCCAAGGTTATTCTGTTAAGATCAAGGTCACTGACAGAAGAAATATTTTCGTTACTACTTCGTTACTTCGAACTAGTAAATGAAAATCAGTGGAGGATCTAACTTGAAAATAGATTATTTATGATTGGAGATTTTGTCATGACCCTGATCAAATGTCTTTCTGGCAAATCAAGGTCACTGACAAAGAAAAAAATGTTTAAGTATAACCTTGTAATTAAAATTTACTGGAGGCTCATGCTGGGAAGACAGGTTGTTGACATAAGAAAGTGCAGTGACCTTGACCCAAGGTCTGTACTTCCTGTCCACAGCTCCAACGGAAGACCTACTCGTTGCTTTGCAACGAGCTCGGCTCTAGTTATTATTCTTTTTTTCTTATTTGTTCTCCACTACTTTTTTGTCCGGAAGTGTTCTCAGAAACTGTTCACCCAACTGACCTAAAACCTTTTTAGCGTTAATAGGTGTGTAGTGTAGGTGTGCAGAACGAAGGTCATTTTGCGCGCATACGCATGCACGTGCGTGCGCGTGATATGGGTGAAATGACTGATATACTTAATATAGCTATAACTTTAACATTTTTTAATGAAATGATTTGAAACTCATTATGTAAAGATATCTTAATAGTGTAGATAATGTGACACTGTCAAATTAGCAAGAACTCACGCGCATGCACGTGCGCTTCGCTCTGATTGGCTGAAACGAAAATCTCAATATCTTTTCTGTTTTTTGACCAAATGCAATGAAATTTAAAACATAGGCATATTTTAGGATGTCCTACAATATGATTTGTAACAATTGTCATGAAATTACGCACATGCACGTGCGCTGCAATCTGATTGGCTAAGACTTTAACTGGCTATAACTCCCTTGTTTTTAAACCAATCAGGATGGGATTTAGAACATAAACAGACATAATACACTCCTACAAGAAGGTATGGTCACCATGCATATGCATGCACGTGCGTGCGCGTGCGCTTTGCTCTGATTGGCTGAAACAAAATTCTCGATATCTTTTTTGTTTTTTGACGAAATGCTTTGAAATTTAAAATATAGTCATGCATTAAGATATCCTACAATACGATATATAATATTTTAATGAAATCACACGCGTGCACGTGCGTTATAATCTCATTGGCTTAAACTTTAAATGGTTATAACTCCCTTGGTTTCCAACCAAAGAGGATGGGATTTAGAATATAGATAGACATAATGAACTCCCTCTAGAAGGTATGGTCATCATGCACATGCTTGCACGTGAAATGAGTAAAATCAAAAATACGTTTGACTGAGTGTATTTTTGAATACTTCTTGATTAAATGCTTTGATATTTTGTATATTAAAATACATAAATAGTGTAGACAAGATGATATGATCATTACGTACATGCATTCATATGAGCACGCGTGCAATGCTAAAATTTCAATATATTTTGTATTCTTCTGGGAAAACGTTGTTTAAGTCTAAATATCATAAAGTATGTCTTATTTAATAGAGCTTACAGGGAATATGGCACCAAAAGGGAGTTGGGGAGCTTTAGGGGAACATCTGTAACGGTCCCCGTTACAATTAGCACTAGTTTAGATTGAAATTGCAAAGTGAAGATGTATTCATTCCTTACTAAAGGTTGAAGGTTACCTGCACATTACGTACAACTTCAGGGTTTAACCTAATTTTGACCAAATGTCATTAAAACATATTCATGACAATTCATGTAAACTTCAAAGAAATCGATACCTATACAGTTGTAAAAAAAGAGAGAGTACATTGTACATAACGCTAAGCCAATCACTTTTCAGACATTGATTAATGTTGGATATATATTATTGGCTGTTGAAATACCATTTAGCAAAAATTCACAGGAACTTAGCAGTAACTCTTTCCTAGAAAAAAAATGAGCAGCCAGTGTTTCATCTCCTTGATTGTGGGTTTCTTAGCTTTATCCGAAGCTTCCATTATTTCTCAGAATTTTACCGCGAAACTGGAATTTAATGATAAGAAATCAAATTACGAACTTTTAGGAGAACATAATTTTCGTTCATTGGCCAAGTGTGCCGCGATGTGTCTAAGGGAGTGCGTCTTCTTTGGGTTTAACTTTCAAATGAAGAAATGTCGTATCCACAAGAAAAATTAACGTCTGAAATGTCTGATGAGGCCGGTTGGAGATACTACTCTTATGATTGTATGTATATTTGTTATTTTTTTCCTGTTTGCTTCTTTGATTTTTGTTAAAGTCCCTCTAAAGAAGACTTGATTTCTTTCTCTGACTCTTCTTTTAATATTTTTATCTCTTTGCTGATTTTTTTCGTAATTTTGAAAAAATTTGAATTAGTGATTAATTTGAGATTGATTGAATTATAATTTGTGATTTCCTCTATTCTCTTTTTTTCTATTCTTATTATCTCTTAGTATGTGATGGAAAACATAAGATTAAATTCTCATACCGTGAGTATTTAATAATAATATTCATTTAAGCTTTGTGACAATGATCATTCTAAGCCAATAGAAAATTATAGCTTGTAATTTACTACATAATCGAAAAAGCTCACTTTAAACTAGTTCCTCGAAATTGCTATCTTGAAAACAGCTGTCCCGAAAGCTGAGATGTGAATCCTGTGCCTTGGAGGAGTAAACATCCTCTGTCGATCGGTCAGATTCACCTTGTGACGACTGTCCTGATCTGGAAAACGACAAGTTCTAGGACAATTCATTGTGAAAATAAAGGCCTTACAATCTGTTACAGACGCGAGTCTGAATTTAATGCGATTAAGTTTGTTGAAAAACTTGGTCATTGTATCGACCTTATAATTTACGAAATGTTGAATTTCACATACATTATACATTATATCATACAAAAAAGTAGATATCATGATTTTACTAGATTTTTCACCATCTATTTTACTGTCCAAATGGCTTATCATCTGATCTACAAATGCACCCCCCCCCCCCTTTAAAATTTCTTTCAATCAACAGAGTATCAAAATAATTGAATTTAATTTTAATTTAATCTAATTCTAATTTTGGGAAACAGTTTGATATAATTTGCATTGTACATGTAGTAACATTTAAGCTTCAACAGTTAACGTTTATATATCATGCAGGCATTATATATCCTCTCACTTCTTGTACGTATACATATTATGATTCCAGCATTTTTTTTAGATTGCATTTTTTCTGTCATGCCTAAAGATTGTAATGATCTTTGTGAAGATGGCCAAACCAGTACAGGGGTGTATGATATATACCCCTACGGTACCTTAACCATTCCTGTCAATGTTTTCTGTGACATGTCGACAATGGGCGGGGGATGGACGGTATGTAATCTATTTTAGAATTAAAAGTACATGATATAACTCACATTCTTTTAAGGATTGAAAAATAAAAATTAATGTGAATATTTTGAGTTCATATTATAATATATGATTATATGATGGTTCGAAGCAATACATTGAATTTTTACGCATGTAAATTTTGAAAGGTGATTCAGAAACGCGTAGACGGATCTGTGAGCTTTGACAGGAACTTGGAGGAATATAAGAATGGTTTTGGTTCACCGGAACGGAATGTCTGGGTTGGCAAGTGTAAATTGCTTCCAGATATGAACTTGTTATTCCTTCAAAATTTGCAGGAAAAAAATCTTTTGGCAGGTAGAAAATTAAAGCGTAAAAAAGATCTGAATTTCAGCTTAGGTTATACATGGATGGGTTCCACACGAAAATCACATGTATCTCAAATAGTTACAAGTAGAAAGAAAAGTAGAGAAGTAAATTATTTAGCGGCATATTTTAATGAGCTCATATTCAGCATTATTGTTTGCAGCTAAGAAAAATATTTTGATTTTTCTTTACGGTAGATTCATATTTTTAATAGAAATAATTGTATTGCAATGGACTTTTCAGCTGAATTTAAATATCTTAATACAGGAAATGACGTAATCCATCAATTAACAAAAGAAGGTACCTCATTCCTGTATGTGACCATAACTCTACAGAATGGTACAACGCTTTATGAAATGTACGACGGATTCTCTGTTTCCGATGAAACAGGAAAATATCAACTCTTTCTTGCAGGACCTGCTACGGGGACCTTAGGTACGTATTCAAGATAAGTTCTCAAAATTGGGTTCAAAATACGTAAATCCTAATTATGCTTTTCTGTATTGAAAGATTATTCAGTTTTTGAAAAAGAGAAAGATGTGGTTTTTTCTGATATTCTGTATGCACCTTTTATTCCACACTAGATAAACATGTTTAATATTTCAGAATATCATTTTCAGGTATAATTCAGCAGACATTTAATTTGTTATTGTCAAGACGCTAAAAATATATATTTTAAGGACAGATGATACAAACTTTTTTTTTCTTTAGAGAGGACTCAATATCATGTCACAAGTTTAGATAAGTGGATAATTCTTTGATTTCTTTCTTTTAAGAACTGGAAAATGAAAAGGACTCGGAAAATATTCGTAACATTTCAATAAAAAAAACAACAAATACAGTCCAATCACACTCAGTAAAGGATTATGTTACTTCGATGCTAAAAGTGTAAAGAAAACTTTAGAAAAATATACCAAGCCAGGTGAATTTAATTAGGAAAAGCAAAATGATAAAAGTCAGCCTATGCGATATTGCAGATTTGTCATTTTGTTTTTCCTCATGAAATTCACCTGGCTTTAAAGTTTATATTACACTTTTAGCACCAAGGTAACATATTCTGAAATTTGGTTTCGCCTGTAAACCTTTACAGCCTGGGTTTCCTCATTTTTTTTTATAATAATCCACATTTAAACTACTACGGAAAAAGAAGTTTACAGAGTGTAATTGATTTATAATATCGACATCTTCACAAAATGATCGCTAACAAATTCAAATTTAAAAAAGCCAAATTCTAAACACCGCAACGTATTTCACATTTACTATACCGTTTCTCTATCAAATGAAAATGTAGTATGATTTTCAATACATCACATTTTTTACTACTACGGAATAGGAGGTTACAGAGCGTCATTTATCTTAAATGTCGAAAAGTTTAAGAAAATTTGATGATAAAAAATGCATTTGATCGGTTACATATTCAAATAAAAAAAGTTTTAAAAATCCAAATTCAAAACACCACAGCGCGCTTCACATTTAACATGCCCATGCTTTATTTTATGAGAATCAAATATTTTAAAACATTTACAGATACACCATATCTTATCTCGATTAATTCTGAACGATTTACTAAGTATTGCATTTAATACATTTTAAAAGGCACGGTCTTGGACCGATATTATTTTTTTAATTTTCCTTGTTTTCTAATATTTCCAGTGGCCTTTACCCCCCCCCCCCCCAAAAAAAAAATCATACTTTTAAGGAAGGGTGATATATGAATTGCGCTGTGTTTTGATCTCTGATATAAAGTATGAATAAATCACAAATGTAAATATAAATAATAAGGTACTATCATTTTTTTTTAGTTTTATTGGGATGTAAAACGGCTTGGCACGTGATCAAATCTTCCTAAATTGTCTCTCTTTACAGGAAACAATACGTTAAACTGTGTATCTCAGACGTACTTCAGTATCTAGATATTTACAGGAATGTGTTGTACAGCTTTAAATTAGTAATTATTATCTCTGTTCTATATTTTCTCTAATTATGCAAGTGCCAGTATGATAGAAACCGGTGATTCTAGGACTGAACAAATTAAAAATTATCGCTCTTTCCAGCACCTAAAGCCGTCTTTCTTAGAAGTACCTCAGCATAGTTATTGAAAATCAAATTGATGAAATATAAATGGATTATCTCTGTGATTCCTTTTATTTAATTTTACAGGAGACGCTATGTTAGACACCGGGGTTTCTTCAGCTGATCTGTCAGGGATGTACTTCTCCACCCAGACAGAGATAACGACGAGTGTAGCTGTAACTGTGCTGCTTACAGTCGCCGTAGAGGAGGTTGGTGGTTTAACGCCTGTCACCACACCTTCCTTATAACGGTCATTGGTCCCCGGCACTGTGGAACTACCCTTGGAATCCTACAGTAAAGAGCGGCGGGACATCAGTGAAAGGGATAACCATGATGATCAGACGTCACTAGGTAAACCTCATTAAATCATAATTACCAGTTTTTTGTATTTCCGTAGAAAAATTCCAGTGGTATGAAGATATTTTTCAAAAAGAAAAAATATGCTACCATTTCCATGAAACATTAATTAATTTTTTTTTTACAGAGGAAAGATCATCCATCAAAAGGATTTTAAAAAAAGAAATCTTTATCGCAGTGTTCTTTTTTTAAATAATGTTTAACACCATGGCCAAGTGGCAAACTTGTTAAGCAGTATATTTTTGTCGGTAAAAGAAGTGGGATTGAACAATTCTTAAAGCAATAAATTGTTGTATTTTTTTGACCAATGATTTAGTAAGATCTTAATTATATGTGTTGTAATAAATTTGAATCTAGAAAAGTCTGTTTTTATTTACAAAAACTGATAAATAAAGATGTCTGGACGGAGAATTAGGATGATGATTGATTTATTGTCAAACCAACTACAGTGAACCTCTTTAATCCGACACATGGACAATACGCTGTACTGTGTCTGCGATTTATTTTCCTTCTAAAGATATTTATTTTAAAAAAATATTAGGTATATTTAATGCTCATGTTTTTCAGTACAGTTCGTCTAAGATTATGCTTCTGTATACACATACCTCTATCTTTTTATCTATGAGAATATTTTGAATAGATGGGCATTTATTATCCATTTATTCATTAATATACTATATAAAAACCGCTTAAATGGATGTTAGTGTTTTTTTTTATATCATGGAGAAAATAAGCTAGATAGTTGACGTCAGAAGTACTGTTCTACAAATCTAATTATACCATAAATATAATACACGTAATGATACTTTATTCACAGTGATACTAGAATATAAGCTTGAATTTAAAAAAAAATAACATTTTCTGAACATCAGTTTCTTTTATTGCTACAAGATACAAGATACAAGATTTTATTAATCCAATTTGGGCCCCCGGAGGAGCAAAAAGATTTACAAATAGAAGGAGGAGGATCCAAATGATAGAACAAGCATGATGATGATATTACAAATAAAGAGCAATTGTTAAAGAAAAAACCAAAACAAGTATATAAGAGATATACTGAATATACATACATGTGTATTCTAAGTTACATACAAATATATATAATAATTTATACATATATATATATATATATAGTTAAAGGCAAGAAACTGGGAAAGAGGTATACATATAATTTTTTTTATGCTTATCACAATATCTTCAATTAAGGTAAATTACTAAGGAATCCAGCAAGTTATCTAAGGATGTCAGGGTCTTCATTAGTCATGAGCCAATAAAATTGATTATTATAAGATAGAGACTGAAAATTTTTGCATTAAATCTTACAAATATTTATGAGTTCAAGTCTTTGTACATTAAGATGAGGACATACAAGGAGAAAATGAATTTCATCCTGAATCTCGTTGTGATGACAAAGTGAACAAATTCGTTCCTCTCTAGGTATTTTTTGATAACGTCCAATTTCAATTTTAAGCCTGTGAGCCGATATTCTACATGTAATCATTTGAAAAAAGAATAAAATTTAATTTTTTCTGCTCTTGAATGCACAAGATACGTCATAGAAGACTAATATCGATACTGTATTTTTTGGTTTATTTTATTTCAATACACTATAACACAGAACGGGGGTAAAAAAAAAGGTCACAATGTATAATATGCATTTTATTCTGACGTCACAAATGTTCAATGCCGTGCAAGATAAAAACATAAGCGAAAATCAAAAGCTAAAATAAAAGCGATAATTCAAGTATTCTTAATAATCAATCAAATTTTCAAAACAAGGCAGGGAGTTCGAAAAAGTAAAATATAAGCTCTGATTCATTATTTTTTAAAATATGTTGTCTCGCATATCTGCTACGATTTGTGTAAAGAAATTTTCATTATGCGCACTGGTGCATTACTCAATATGTCTGCATATACCTTTGACATTATGGACTACATCTCTTTAAAAAAGTGACTTAATACTTAAATAATGAATAATCAATATTAAATGTGTATAGACAAGTCATTTATATAATGCTAATGTACATATATCAAAAAATAATATAGACAACAACTTGGAACTTATATTCAAATAAATAGGAAAAGTTTTTTGGGGAGCTTTATAAAAATTCAAGATGTGTTTCTGATACAAAGGTGCTCTCGTATTGCAGCTTATGATGGATGGTGTCGTTTGCAGGTCAAACCCCAAGATCAAGAGAAAATAATTTTTGGTACCCCAAAAAAAGTTCCTCATAATGAGTCCGTCTTAAAAAAAAAATACCAACAACAGTTCAATAATTATTACAAAAGTTGGAGATTTTCAAAAGTAGATCAAACTGGACAAGGTCAAGGAGTCAATATTTATGATGCCCTAGGGAATTTCGGAACACTGGTGAAATATAAAAGTCACAGAATCAACCATTCAAAAGTTCTGACCAAAGTTTTTTTTCAAAAGAAGGTAGGTCTGAGGTCCATGTGAAAAGATAAAATGTTGGTGGTATTCAAGAGAAGCTCTCAGCACAAGAAAAAAAATGGTAAAATAGTAAACACCTAGCACTTACCATTCAGGAGCACGGTCAAGAAATAGAGTTTTTGAAAATTATGTCGAATGAATAAGTTCAAGGTCAAAGGTCATCGCGGCTGGTACTCAATAGAATGTCTTGTTAAAATAATGATCACGAGGAGCATGCTATCACTTGACTTAACCGTAAGATTGTTATGGTTAAGATAAGAATTTAAACAAGAGGCCCATGGGCCACATCGCTCACCTGAGAAGCTTTGACCATTCTGTTTTTACCAGATTTCCCCTTAAAATACATATTGTGACCCCACCCTACCCAACTGATCATAATTTAAACAATTTCAAATCTACACTACCATAGGATGCTTTGATTCAACATTGTAAAACTTTGATTCCCCACTGTGGCCCTGCTCTACCCCAGGGGTCATGATTAGAACAATTTATAATCTACACTACCCCAGGATGCTTCCACGTAATTTTCAGCTTTTCTGGCCCAGTGGTTCTTTCAAAGATTTTTCCTATATATTTCTATGTAAAACTTTGATTACCCATTGTGGCCCCGCCCAACCCCTGGGGGTCATGATTTGAACAATTAAGAATCTACACTACCCCAGGATGCTTCTATATAAGTTTCAGCTTTTCTGGCCCAGTGGTCTAGAGAAGAAGGTTTTTTAATGACCCCACCCTATTTTTGTCTCTTCTTGATTATCTCCCGTTGTTAGGGGACTTGGCCCTTCATTTTGACAATTTAAATTTCACTTCACTCAAGAATGCTTTGTACCAAGTTTGGTCAAAATTGGCCCAGTGGTTCATGAGAAGAAGTCAAAAAAATGAAAAGTTTACAGACAGACGGACAGACAGATGGACAGACGGGCGGACGACGGATAAAATGTGATCAGAAAAGCTCACGTGAGCCTTCGGCTCAGGTGAGCTAAAAACGTATCAAATGAACCCAAAAATGCCTTCCCCTTCCTGTCATTCTATCAACATGATCAAGTAAATAATTTCAATTTATTAAGTACAAGAGAGCGTGAAGTTTTTTGTAAATTAAATACCGATGAAATATATGGAAATAACGAACAGTATTCAAGCTTTAAAGTCCATAGCAGCAGAACAAACACGGACCTCTAAAACACCAGAGGTGAATCAGGTGCCATGGAGGAATGAGCATCCCCACAACCGCCGTGTGTTCTTTGTCATGATTGTCAATAACGAACAAAAAATCTGTCGACATATCAGTGTTTAAATAATAACCTTAAAAAAAACGAAAAACATCGATCACCATTTGACTTATGGGTAATGATAAATTTTATTTACTGACTTCAGTATAAAAAAAAGCATCGGTTGGCCATCGTATACCCCATCGTTAGATAATGTGACTAATACTTCAAGGACTACTAGACCGATGTGGACCGATGTTGGGGCATCGCTCACACCACGGATTACCACCGATTACCACTGGTCTACGGCCATCGGCCGGGAAATGTGACTAAGGCATTAAGTATTTGTCACATTATCCAGCGATGGGGTATATGATGAGAAACCGATGCGTTTTTTGATAAAAATGGCGTGGTTGCTGGCCTATAGTAATCGGACGGTGACTGAGGTCATTCGGCGAATTTCGGGGTCATCGGTAGAAAATAAGATGTAGTTAAAATTCAGCGATGCCTCCACCGATGCCCCACATCGCTCCTCATCGGACACCCATCATTAACACATCTTTTAAGGATTGGCCGATGTATGGCCGAGCACTGTCAAGTGTCCGTTGAACCAGAGGTCATCGGGGGGTTGAGTGGTGGGCAACAGACATCGGTCGATGTTCGACCAAACATTGGCCCATAGTCGACCGAAGTACGAACGATGTTCACCAATTTATGAGCGATGTAATATGCACTGGAACATCGTTTTATGATTAGCAATGCATCGCTGAGCCTTTGTAAGTCCGACAGGCAACCACGCTATATTTATCCAAAGACGCATTGGTTGGCCATCATATACCCCATCCCTTGATAATGTGACTGATACTTTAAGGACTACTAGGCCGATGTGAATCGATGTTAGGGCATCGCTAACACCACGGATTACCAACAGTCTACAGCCACCGGCCGGGAAATGTGACTTATGCAATAGTTATTGTCCATGATTACTCTCTCCAAATTTGAATTGCTTAAAGAACTTTTGAGCTGGAATATTGTTTGTTATCTCCATATACTCTATTTTGCAAAGGCTTTCATGTTTGCGACGAGAATTGGTAAGTGACTTTAAAATCCTTCATATCGGTCCTGTATTTCATTGAGAAGTCCAATAATGGCTTGATTATCCCTCAATTTCTCAAAAAGTATATTTTCCCGAGTCTCTTGATCAGACATTGAAATTATTCTAAATGCACTT